ATCACTGCCACAAGTATCTGGTTGAAGTGTCTCTATTTTAAAAAACAAATGCATTCTACTATAGCGTTTGCGGTTAAAATTTCGTGATAGATGCCACAACAAAATATTCTACCACATCAAGTGAAAAGGACATGTGGTATAATTTGTTAGTATTCAAGCAGAATCGCTAGGCCATCAAAAAGGCCACATAGGTTTATGCAAGGGGCTGTCTCCCAAGGATACTCTACACTTAGTAAGAAAACAAATGATCTAGTTTTCAAAAAAAATGCAGACTTTCCACCATAAACCTATGTTCCGTTTTTACCCTTGAGGTAAGACTAAGATAGAACCCAAGAGCCAACAATTCTCTCTCATTCATCTCGAATAAGCAACAAATTTGAAGTTATAGAAAGCGCTTGTTGAAGGAGCTGCAACAGGCCAAGGAGACCAAAGACAACATTGAAAAGCTTGATAAGCTAGTCAGTCTATTCTAGACAACCAGGTGATACTATTCAATTAAACCTCAAGCTGGCATAAATTAATACCAGTCCTCCAATCCCAACCTCATCATTTTGATCACTGAGACAGAATTCTCTCTTATTATGCATTTACTCAATACCGTGTCCTTTCCTCCAGTAATTTCTGAGTACATTATATTATAACGCTAACTCGAGTGATCAAACATTGCGAAGCTACGCCTCACTTTCAGCAATTGAACACTTTCCAAATGTCAATTTTATATGTGTGTGTGTGTGTGTGTTCTTGCTTACTAAAATGCACAATTCACTACGACATACAGCAACAACAGTTTTCGACTATCTCGTAATTACGCAGACACCGCAAGAAATCACAGGTCTCTGTAAATTTGTGCCAGTCTCATTAGGCAAAGTGCAAAATCCACACACAGACACAGAAACACACATATCCTCAATAAAGAATTAATCCGCGCCTTATCAGCATTTTCTTTCGCTTTCTGCTTCTCAATGTCGAACAAATTATTAAAAGACAAGGATCAGCCGCCAATATTTGCAATTGGCATGAATTGAACAATCTGAACAATTAAATTCAAAACTTCTCATTTACAAGTAAAAAAAAAAAAAAAACCTATTTTGGTTGTTTAACAAAATGTTGGAGCTGCTATGCTCAACCAATAACAATTTGACAAGTGTTAAAAAAATTTGAAAAATTAAAGCTTGAAAAAACAACTTAAATATTTGTCAAGTTGTTATGAGGTGAGAGTAGGAACTCCTGCATTTTTTTAAAGCAACCAAGCTATGTAGAAAAAAAATACCATCAAATTGTAGTACGGCGTGAAATAAACAATTGACCTCAAATACAATCAAACCCTCCATAAATTAAATAGTGTTTAGAACAAGAAAAATCTATTAATTTAGTGCATATTAAATAATCTATTAATTAATAGTTTTTTTTTCTTTTTGTCAATAATTAATAGCTTATTAATTTATTAATGTATTCTTTATTGTCTTACATAGAAGGGGATCCTCGGATCCCTTCCACTAAATTCACATAATCTACAAATTTGGACTTTTAAAATTTGTTCTAAAGGTTAGAAACAGGAAACTTCTTTAAAAGTTATAATAACATTAACTGTTTGATCAAATTTCAAAGATCCAGATTTATGGATTATGTGGATTTAGTGGAAGAGAGGATCCCTTTCCGTCTTAGGTCTTAGATATTGTACATTGTATTCAATTTTTTCGTTTTGCGAACCAATAATTTTAAGGATGCTATTGCAACTTTATACATCTTTAAAATATTTTAATTTCATACATTATTTATCATTTTATTATAATTTTATACATTTATTAATTAAACCGTTAATTAATTACTTGATAAATATAAAATTAATATATTTTGATGACGTAGCGAACCAAAATAATTAAAAAATTAAAAACGTAGCCTTCACTTCTTCTTTCTCCAGCTACCCCTCACTTTCTTTCTCTGCATCTCCATCTTTCCACTTTGCATCTCCATCTTCCATGGAAACACCTTCAAATCCCTCCCAAGTCCAAACCCCACAATCCTTCTAGCATTTAGCACCATGAAATTTCCATTTCTTAACAAATCCCACACACCCAATTTCTTACCCTCACCCCACCCCCCCCCCCCCCCCCGGCGGAAAACTCGTCAGCAAAACCCAGATGCAAATATCATCTACTTCCCAAAACCCAGATGCAAATATCATTCTTCTTCGTCAGATTTAACGACAAAGATGCCGCCATCTCACCAAGATTCACATCGTCGACTTCAGAATCGCACAGGGGTCCAATGGGCGAAATTGCTGCAGGCCATGGCGACCCGCTCCACTCGAAAACCGTCGAGTTCGAGTAAGAATCAAAGAACTTGGGAGAAATCAAACCTCGCAGTGGTGGATGTGGTTCGGCGGAACCAGCTGGACGGCGGCGGCGGGCTTGGGCTGGGCTTTCTAGGCCCGGGAGTGGTGGCGGGAGGTGAGGTAGAGGGAGAGGAGGAGAGGGTGATTGACGGCTATATCATTTAGTAGGAGGGAGAGATGGGGTTATTGGGCTAAGCATTGCCCAGACCCCTTTTTCAATTTCTTTTAGTTTTTAATTATAATATAAATTTATATTTTATTAAATAATCCTTTTTTATTATTTTTTATTCACATAGTGCAAAGTTGACAGTTATATCAACACAAATATGGATCTTACATTTTCCATATCATCACTTAATGGTTAACTTAACAGATTTTTTAATGGATGTATGAAACTGAAAAGAAAATATAACTAAATATATGAAATTAAAATGTTTTAAAGATGTTGTATGAGGTTGTAATTGATCCTATACTTGAGGGGATAAAATGTAATTTACCCATAATGTTATGTATTTGTTTAAATGTGTACATTATTCTACTTTATAAACATTTAACCAAGCCTAAGCTCTATTTAAATAAACAAAGACTATAGTAACATGAAATTATTAATTTATATATTACGTGAGACTTATATGACTATCTAAAATTATTATTTAAACGAGATTATTAATTTGTGGAAGTTCTATTGTAGTTGGTTTATGGATGTTAGGTTATCAAACTTAACATTAACGATTAACGTGAATGGAAACTGAATGTAGGTGATATGTATTGTCAAATGTTTAATGTATAGGTAGTTAATGTAATTCTTTTAGTTTGGACAGTATATGCATAAAGGGTGAACTCTCAATTTTAATATTTTAAAAATCGCTAGGCAATTGTCGGGTAGTGAAGAGAGGCCTAACGCCTAGTGCCTTGCGGCCTAGGCAAGGCCTAAGTGGTGTTTTGAATATTAATTAAGTACATGTGTAAATATTAGAGTATTTTATATTAGTTTATAACATTTTATAAGTTAATACCATTGTTCAGCCTTGTTTTCACATTTTAAAAAAGTTGGTTATGGTTTTGTTTTCCCTGTGTACCATCATGTGCTCGACAGCTCAAGGTTTTTGTTGTATGATTACGTAAGTGCATTCGAAGTATGTTAAGACTGCCTCACTCAAAAGTTAGAAACCAATGGCTGGCTATATGCATCAATTATGCAAAAATCTTTACTCAAAAGTGTTTACAAGATAGTTCATAACTAGCTTCGTTACGATCTTTGAATAAATAATAAATAAAGTAATTGAATTTATAAATATAAAATTTTGAGATTACTGTCAAAGTGATGTTTTCAAGTGGCACTCTAGGAACAAACAAACAAAAATAATTCACCTTGATATCATGGGTTAAATTACAAATTAGCTACCGGTTTAGTGACAAGGCAAATAATAGAGCCATTTACCTAAAAGCATCTTTAAACGACTAGGCAAATGCCTAAGCAATTAAATTTGATGAGTCACATAAGCAAACTTGGCTCTAAGAGCAGTTCCACCGAGAGGTGGTTAGGCCGGCACTCAGCCAAAAAACAAGGTTGGCACTCAGCCAATCCACTCCAGCCCGTTCCATTGCCTGGCACCCAGCTGGTCTCCAGGCCAGCCCAAAATTGACAGACCTTGGGACCAGTCCATCTGACGTTAGCATGGCGTTGGAGAGCATATGACGTCAGCTTTTTTTTTTTTTTTTTTTGGTTGTGTGCCAGAGAGAGAGTTGTTGTGGAGGCTGAGGAGCGGAGTTGGTCGAGACGGGAGAGGGTGTCCAGAGGGAAGGAGCCATGGAGGGACAAGGACGGGAGGATGAAGCGACGACGTTGAAGGACAGGAGGTGTAGAGGAGCTGCTTGTTGAGGTCGGCTTGGGATTTGAAGGACAAGAGGGCAACAGTGTTGGAGGATGGGAGGAGGAGGTTTGGAGGCGACAGTGGGAATGGATTATTTGTGTTAGGGTGGATGGCGTGCAGGAATGGAAGGGAAAGGAATGGAAGATGAGAAAATAAAAATATTATTATTTTATTTTTTTTATAAAGTCAAAAATTAAAAATAAAAATATTATTTTATAATAAATAATAATAATATTTTAATAAATTGACTAGGCTATTTTTTTTAGAGGTGGAGATGCTTTGGTCTACTACTGTTCACTGGAGTCTATTACTGTTCACTTAAGTGGATAAATGCGCTAGGTGCTGGTGCAAAATCTTTAGGGGTGAAATTGCTTTAAGAGACTTGGCAACTGCCTTATGGAAAGTTTAGGCAAATTGGACTCCACCACCTTTTTCATTAAATAATGAACACAACACATGCATATTTTCCAGTCATTTTCTTAAGAGGGGTTATCCACGTACTTTTATTAACTATTATATTATCTCTCCCACTTCCCTATAAATTTTGTCATTTGATCATTTTCAATTTATTTTATTTGACCGCCAAAGATTGAGAAGAATTTGTAGAAAGTAAAAATGGATGTGTAGATAGCACCACCTTTCCCTAATTAGTTGTCTTATCCTTTGAAGTCACATATAAGGAAAATATTGAAGACAAACTGCTACTTAACACATCAAAGTGCACATTTGCCTCAATATTTTGGGTGGACCTGATGAGCAAATTTGTCGTATCATCTAGTTATATCTCGTTATGTCTACAACATTAGTCAAAATTTTGACTAATACATATGTATCAACTGGAAATACATCTGTTGTCATTACTTTCAACACATTAAAGACAAGAAGACGGCAAAACTATAACAAGTTAACTAAATATTTGGTAAACAAGATAAAATAGGACAACATATAATCATTTTCGCAGAGTTTTATACATGATACTTGCAATCATCAAATCTTATCATTTGAAGCAAATGGAAAGAGCCTGTGCTAGGTGTGCATCACCTTCCCGACAACGTACATTTTAGCTTCGTGTTAGAGCACGTCAGATTCGGATTATTCTGTGGATCTCCTATAGGTATCTCTTGTGGAAACAGAAAAGGCTTTGGAGGCATTTGCAGGCACTCAGCATCTCCTTCAAGTGATTTGTATACACCATAAGGCCGTTATAACCATCTTTTTTACCAACTTCTTTTCCTCTTCAGTGGCATCGCCCATCTCCAAATCTTGTCCTTCATTATATCGATCGTACACCCATGTTGGCAAGTAAAGTTGGCTCGAATGCTCTGCCAATGCGTTCAAATTCTTCCTTCTGCTTGCCATTTCCATTAGCAACATTCCAAAACTAAAGACATCAGCCTTGTAAGAGACACCTCCAATATTTTTGTAGAACAACTCAGGAGCCATATATCCCATTGTTCCTCTTGCAACAGTCAACAAGACAATGCTGTTATCGGTTGGATATAATTTTGCGAGGCCAAAATCAGAAATCTTTGGGTTGAAATTCTCATCAAGAAGAATTTTGTGAGGCTTAATATCGAAATGCAGAATTTGCATGTTGCAACCTTGATGTAGATATTCAATCCCTCAAGCTACTCCAAGAGAAATCTGATACATTTTATCGTAACTTAAATACGTAGTTCCTTCTTTCAAATAAACATATTTATCAAGAAACCCGTTAGGCATGAAGTCATAGACTAGACAACGGTTTGATCCCTCAACACAATAACCAACAAGTTGCACCACGTTAACATGGTGAATCCTCCCAATGGTAGCCACCTCGTTGACAAAATCTTGTCCATTAGCTTTAGACTTGCCCAACATCTTAATAGCTCCAAAACGACCACTGCGCAAATTTCCTTTAAATACACAGCCATAGCCGCCTTCACCCAGTTTATCCTTGAATCTGTTAGTCATCTTCTTAATGTCCGAGTAAGAATATCGTTTTGGGATAATACTGGTATCGCCTTGTAGAAAGTCTTCTATAGCGCTATACATTGACAAATTCCTTCTCCTCCATTTCAAGATCCAAATCCAAACAACACATGTAGCCCCAGAAATCAACTTTCCCACTGCTACTGCTCCTGCTCGGGAATTTTAAAACAAAATCATAAGAAAACATAAATCATATTACATACCAAACTCACGATGTTTCCATCGATGAAGAAGACAAATAGCTTACCAATGCCGATGATCACTAGTGCCCGATATCCTGCAAGAAATATAATCAAAGTGAACAAAATCAAAAGACATGCTTCCAAATCTTACTCCCCCACTTCTTCCGTTATCATTTTTATAATTAACACATGTTCAGAAAGCTCATCATATGATGATACTATATATTCTTTTAAACAAAATTAGAGTTTAAAAAAAAGTGAAAGCATATATAACTCTAATTAATTCACAAACCTGCGCCGGACGGATATCTATATATATATATATATAGACACACACACACACACACTTATCTCTACCTAGCACGAAACCTTTTAGAAGTTCACTGGCTTCGGGTTTCATCGGAACTTCGAGGTTAAGCGAATTCGCGCGAGTGCAATCCCATGATGGGTGACCCACTAGGAAGTTCTCGTGTGAGTTCCCAAAAACAAAACCGTAAGGGCGTGGTTGGGGCCCAAAGCGAACAATATCGTGCTACGGTGGAGTTGAGCCCGGTATGCGACAATTGGTATCAGAGCCAATCTCTGGCCGGGAGTGTGCCGATGAGGACGTTGTGCCCCTAAATGGGGTGGATTGTTAGATCCCACATCGTCTAGGGGAGTGGATCTTGTGAGCCTTATATGTATATTTCCATCTCTACCTAGCACGAGACTTTTCGGGAGCTCACTGGCTTCGGGTTCCATCGGAAATTCTGAAGAAAGAGGTTACATGGGTTCAAATAAAAATTCCCTTTTATTTATTTGTTTAGGCGGGTAAAATTCATGAATTTATTTATTTATAGCTAAAACTCGATTGTACATTATTCCATTTTATGAATTTATTTATTTATAGCTAAAATTCATGAATTTTCTTAAGAGTGGTGTTATCCACACACTCTTGTTAATTTTTATTTTACCTATCATACACCCTTGTTAGTTTGTCTTTGATTCTCTTCAATTCATTTGTTCCGACGGCAAAAAATTAAGAGGTATGTGTGGAAGGCAAAAAAAAAGTGTGTGAGTAGCACCACCGTTGCCTAATTAGTTGCCTTATCCGTTGGAGTCACACTAGTTACATAACCCATCAAAGTACACATTTGTCTCAAAATTGGGGGTGGACCTGATAAGCAAATTTTTCGTGTCATCTAGTTATATCTCTTTATGCAACATTAGTCACAATTTTGACTCATACATATATATCAACTTGAAATACATATTTTCTCATTACTTTCAACACATTAAAGACAAGAAGAAGGCAAAACTACAAGAAGTTAACAACTAAAGATTTGGTAAACAAGATAAAACAGGACAACATATAACAATTTTCGCAAAGTTTTTATACATGATACTTGCAATCATCAAAATTTATCATTTGAAGCAAATGGAAAGAGCCTTTGCTAGTTGAGCATCACCTTCCCGACAACGTCCATGTTAGCTTCGTGTTAGAGCACGTCAGATTCGGATTATTCTGAGGATCTCCTATAGGTATCTCTTGTGGAAACAGAAAGGGCTTTGGAGGCATTTGCAGGCATTCCGCATCTCCTTCAAGCATCTCTATGACTTTGTTCATTGAAGGACGATCACCTGGTTTCATTTGTATACACCATAAGGCCGTTATAACCATCTTTTTTACTATCTTCTTTTCCTCTTCAGTGGCATCGCTCATCTCCAAATCTTTTCCTTCATTATATTTCTCATACACCCATATTGGCAAGTAAAGCTGGCTCGAATGCTCTGCCAATGCGTCCAAATTCTTCCTTCTGCTTGCCATTTCCCTTAGCAACATTCCAAAACTATAGACATCAGCCTTGTACGAGACACCTCCAATATTTTTGTAGAACAACTCAGGAGCCATATATCCCATTGTTCCTCTTGCAGCCGTCAACAAGACAATGCTATTATCTGTTGGATATAATTTTGCAAGGCCAAAATCAGATATCTTTGGGTTGAAATTCTCATCAAGAAGAATATTGTGAGGCTTAATATTGAAATGCAGAATTTGCATGTCGCAACCTTGACGTAGATATTCAATCCCTCCAGCTAGTCCAAGAGAAATCTGATACATTTTCTCATAACTTAAATACGTAGTTCCTTCTTTCGAATAAAACATATTTATCAAGAGACCCGTTAGGCATGAAGTCATAGACTAGACAACGGTTCGATCCCTCAACACAATAACCAACAAGTTGCACCACGTTAACATGGTGAATCCTCCCAATGGTATCTACCTCGTTGACAAAATCTTGTCCATTAGCTTTAGACTTGCCCAACATCTTAATAGCTCCAAAACGACCACTGCGCAAATAAACAGCCATAGCCGCCTTCACCCAGTTTGTCCTTGAATCTGTTAGTCATCTTCTTAATGTCCGAGTAAGAATATCTTTTTGGGATAATACTGGTATCACCTTGTAGAAAGTCTTCTATAGCGCTATACATTGACAAATTCCTTCTCCTCCATTTCAAGATCCGAATCCAAACAACACATGGAGCCCCAAACATCAACTTTCCCACTGCTAATGCTCCTGCTCGGGAATTTTAAAACAAAATCATAAGAAAACATAAAACATATTACATACCAAACTCATGAAGTTTTCCATCGATGAAGAAGACAAATAGCTTACCAATGCTGATGAACACTAGTGCCCGATATCCTGCAAGAAATATGATCAAAGTGAACAAAATCAAAAGACATGCTTCCAAATCTTACTCCCCCACTTCTTCCGTTATCATTTTCATAATTAACACATGTTCAGAAAGCTCATCATATGATGATACTATATATTCTTTTCAGCAAAATTGGAGTTTAAAAAAAAAGTGAAAGCATATATATCTCTAATTAATTCACAAACCTGCACCGGACGGATATATTGGAGAGCCAAGAGAATACTGAAGCTCAAAGCCATACACCAGAGCATTGTGTATGTAACAGTAAGAAGTTGCGTTTCGGTGATTTTCAGTCCAGGAAGCCATGGCCGTCTACCCTATACTGCACCCCTCCTCCAAATCTGACGCAATCATTGGGCCCACCGCGACATAACTATAGGTTTCTAGTTGGGACAAAGTATACTACCACTCCTGGAAATATTTATGCATGGAGCTGTCTCCACGTACAGCGAGGAGTTCACTGGACTAGCACAATTCAAGAAAGTTATAGCTCTTAAAATCCATACTATACGATAATGAATATCATAACTGTACACACTATGGAGATCCAAAAATTATTGAATCGGATGATAAAGGATAGAGAGGAACGGAGGAGCAATTATTGTGATCAAAACCAGGATCTACAAATCGGATTGTGTTGTTATTGTAGTTGATTGACTTTACGTAGTATCTTCCCGAGTTAAAGCGTAACACTGTCACGTTGTCCTCGCGAAACAGATTATACATTGATTCACCGCAATTCTTCGGGTCATCTTGGAGTGGAAAAGGATAGCTTATGTTCTGAATATTGCCACAGGAAGAAGGCGGACAAGATGATGCCTTAGCGTTAGAAGTTTCACCCAATAAGGCAATTGCAAAAAACGCCAAAACTTCAAACCGCGCAGACAAGGCCTTTCCACTTGCCATGAAGCGAAAGCCTCTCTCTCTCTCTCTCTCTCTCTCTCTCAGAGCTGAAGGCCTTCCACGTTGGTTTTTATTAGCTCATGGGACTCATATATTGTAGAATTTTTTAGGTCGACGGGCTGAGGGCCACTCCAACAATATCGATACTGTCTTCACTTTACCGCCTGCCCAATCCGTCAAGTGTGAGGTTTTATCACAAAAGATTTCGGTTTTAATTAGATTGGGGTAATTCTATTTAAATGGCTCTTTCTCCTTCCCTCTGTCTGATGTGGGACAAATGGGTTCCAACAATCCCCCGCACGTGTGACCCCATTTTATGGATCACATGTAGAGATTCACACATCAACAACCATGTGGAGCCAAGTCAAGGCTCATCCATTGCATGGGGCCAAACGAGGACACATCCGATCACGTGGCATCTTTGGCCTATATGGAGTCATGTCGGGACTCACCTATCGCGTGGGGCCAAAGGAGACCCACCCAATCACGTGTCAGTACGAGTCTGCTCCCTGACTCTGATATCATGTAAAATTTTTCAAGTCGACGGGCCGAGAGCCCACTACAACAACATCAATACTATCCCTACTTTACCACCTGCCCTACTTTACCACTTGCCTAATCTATCAGGTGTGAGATTTTATCATAAAAGATCTTGGTTTCAATTAAAGTAAAGTAATTCTATTTAAATGACTCCTTCTCCTTCCCTCTGGGTTCCAACGCATAAGTTTTCTGGCTCACCGCGGTTCCATTCTACAAGATTAATATCAAATTTTATGGCCCACTGTTGAACGACTTTAATTACATAGGGCCCTTCGACTTTTCCTGATTGCTCATTAATGGTATGGAAGAAGAACAAAAAGTCAAGGGATTTAACTTCGCTGAAGAATTCAGCAGCACAATTGGGATTGGGTGGAAATAGCAGCTGCTGCTGAATGGGAGGGCCTCACATCATGATTGCTAAGTAATTTGGGTTAGAGCAAACGAATCCGGATCTTCTATGTAATGATTCTGAAAATTCGTAAATCATGTCTGTTTATCATACATCTTACAGTCATAAATTATTTTAAATTTTTTATTTAAAATTAAATATAAATAGTACTTGACGAAAACTAACCGCAAGATATATGATGAACGAACACGATTCACAAATTTTCAGAATCTTCACAAAGATGATCCAGAGAGGATCCTGTTGGAGAGCAAACGAAGACCGGCACTAAAAAAGTAGTTAGTATATATTTTTGGGAGTTTTAACGAAAAGTCCGCGGTACTGTTTACTTTAACGAAAAACCACATTTTTACACTAAAAAGTCAATCTTGGTACTATTCACTTTACTCTTTATTTTTTCCTTATTGTTAAAATTTAAAGTTTTCAAACTCTTTTCATTAGTTTTCCTTTTATTTTTCTCTGAAGTTAAGTTTCTAAAATATTGTTTTTTTACTATACATTTATATTTTTCTCTGAAGTTAAGTTTCTAAAATATTGTTTTTTTTAATTATAAATTTATACAACAACGTATTTATATTAAAAGTGGAAGAATAAATTAGTTTTGAACTCGTTTACAAGAAGAATACCACTAAATTTAGACGTATTTCAACCGTTAAATTGTTTGATTTGGACAAATGGAATAGATGGTTATTTTAAGGGAACTTTAACGAAAAACTCCCAATACTGTTCACTTTAACAAAAAATCACATTTTTACACTAAAAAATCAATCTTGATACTATTTACTTTACCATTTATTTTGTCTTTATCATTAAAACTCAAAGTTTTCAAACATTTTTCATTAGTTTTCTTTTATTTGAAATCAAATTAGTTACTTCAATGTTGATTTATTTTAGTAAATGTCATATATATAGTACCATAACTTAATCAAGATTAGATTTGTAGTACCATATGTGAATACCATTTCTTTTCTCTGATCAGAAATGAAGGAAATAATCATCTCTTCCCTTTGCGTATTGTTAATAGCTTTCTCCAAATTACTTGGGGAAACTCAGAATGGCTGCAAAGAATTGAAGTGCGGGGATCAAGGCCCGCCCGTCCGTTTCCCTTTCATCCTCAAAGATAGACATCCAGATCACTGTGGCTATCCTGGGTTTGTTCTGTCATGCTATGAGAAACAAGAGGGTTCTCGAGCTTCCAATTCCGGCCAAATTCTCTGTCAAAATCATTGATTATAAGTATCAGGAAGTCCATCAATACGACTCAGATAATTGCTTGCTGGTAGAAGTTTCAGAAATCCTCAACATTTCGAGCTCTCCTTTCCACTTCTCAGAAGAGTTTCAGGACAACCTTGCCTTATTCAAATGTTCTTTAGGTCTTGAAAGGCGACAGCACGTTCACGTTTTAAATGGCCCCTGCCTTACCAGCCCCGGCCATCACGTGTATGCCGTTGATCCCGACTACAAAATTGATAACCTGCGGTCTTGTACAAAGATACGTAATGTTTTATCAGTTCCATCTTCGGGTGTTCTGAAATGGTCTAAACCACACTGCACAGAATGTGAAGCGGGGTGAAAGAGGTGTATACTGAAGAACAACGGGAACAAAAGTGAAATTGAATGTGCTAACCTGACAAAAAGTAAGATTAACACTACATATTCTGCTTGACATATATTCTGTTCAAAAGCAAAAGCATTTTTAAAATAATGATTAATACTCTCTGCTGGGGAACAGGATGAACTGAACCACTAGTATTAATTATGTACCAATATTTTCACAATTTCATGACTAACAACATGCTTTTTCAAATTATCCTTTGCTGGTGAAGCAAACAAACTAGTGGCTACCAGTGAGTCACCCAACTGATCTTCTGATTTGTAACATTCATGTCTAACACATACTGAGGATAGATACTTAACTTTTGGGATTTCTTGTAGGTGCAACCTTGGGTTCATTCACCTTCTTCCTACTAGTCGTTGCAGTTTATCAGGTCCATTACTATGATACAAAGGAAAAAGAAAATCAAATTAAGATTAGAAGATTTTTACAAGATTACAAAGCTCACAAACCAAGCAGGTATTCCTACGCAGATATTAAGAGGATCACAAACCAATTCCAGGAGAAGTTAGGCCAAGGAGCCTATGGAACTATTTTTAAAGGAAAGCTTTCTTCTGAATGCTTTGTTGCTGTAAAAGTTCTCAATAGTTCCAATGGAAATGGGGAAGATTTCGTAAATGAAGTTGGAACGATGGGACATATTTAGACCTGACATTCGTGTCGTTTTCGTGTCATGTCTGATAACTTAACGGGTCATGCCGTGTAATACTCGTTAAAGTTAACGGGTAGTATGACCCGACCCGAAATCAACCCGTTAATATTTTCAGGTAATATGACCCGACTTGTTACCCGTTAAGAAAAATATATTTTAAATTAATAAAAATGAAAATGAAAAACATAATTTGATCCAAAAAAATGTTAAACATAATACTAAATTAGTATATACATACTAAATTTCGAAGTTGACCCCTTAATGAAAGTTGTAAAGCTTTTCATTACGAGTGATTATATTTTTCACACTTCTACAATAATTTTTATTAATTTTATTAATTTTTCACTCAAATAAATAACTTTGTTCATGAGATTTGGAGGGTTATAAAAATCTAAACGACCATGTAACCTTGCCGATGGAACTCAAAGCTTACATGTTATTCCTTTTACAAAATCCTCAATTTTCATAGATCATGATGACATAAGATTTTGTGGTATCCACTTCTGTAAATATTTTAAATTGACGATCAAATTAGTTCATTGTATTCATATAGGATCAAGGAGTGTAGCTGTAAAAAATCATCAAAATCAGAGATAAAATAACCATTAAATCGTGATTTTTCGTTTATAACCGTCGAAAAGTTTTGTCTTGTTACTTGATCTCTGAATGTTTGT